ACGAATGGTGCCATCTTTCACCTATTCTATATTTCTATATATCTATATTTGTATCTATATTTGTATGGTGAGTGTTGTGTATATTTTAACTTTTTTTGTAGTGGTGTTGTCCAGTTTTACCTTGGGGAAGAGCACCTCATTTCGTTGCACCCACTTGTGAGTGCAATGACAAATAAATTTCTTATGTCTTATGTCTTATTCTGCCCTGACACATGAGCCCTTTACCAAGAAAATGGAGGAGCATAATGTGGTGCCCTCAAAAGAAGGTTGCCCCACTTTCTATGTGATTTGTGAATACATGTTTGAAACTCAATTTTTTAAAATAATATTTTTAAAAATAATTTCTTTTCCTTTATCACAGGGTCAAAGCAGCTAAAAATTCAGCAACGAGGCTTTGAAAATCAGGATACATTTTTAAAACCCACAAAAGATTACAGTATTGAAACACTACTAATTATCACATTAAAATAAACAGCAAATTAACACAATTTAAAAAACCATTTTAAAACATAACATCAGAGAAGCATAACACCTACCATTAAAATGGCCTATTCTTTTGTCAGTTATTGGTCAAAGGCAACAGAGAGTCTTGATACGAGTATTCTAGGTTTGCCTCCCCCCATTGTTTTTCTACTGGTTGGCAAAGGCCATTTGTTGTCTCCTGACCAGTTATGCCTGTGAGGGTGGTGGGACAGAAGGAAATCTTTTCAGGTGCCTTGTGGTACAGTGGTTAAACTGCAGTACTGCATCAAAAATGCTGCTCATGACTCAGTTTCAGTCCCAGGTAGCTAGGTCGAGGTTCACTCAGCCTTCCTTCCTTCTGAAGTCAGTATTGAGTACATAGCTAATGTGTCACCTGCATAATTAAAGTGTAAACCACCCAAATAGTGCTTTAAACACTATGGGGCAGTATGTAAGCAACATGTTATGCTTTTTCCTTTTAAAGACCTGAGCAGACTAAAATTCCTACCCATATCTAGATGGAAGGAAATTTTATTTATTTATTTATTTATTTATTGGACTTATATACCGCCCCATAGCGCTACAAGCACTCTCCGGGCGGTGTACAATTTTTAATTATACAGGCTACACATTGCCCCCCCCAGCAAGCTGGGTACTCATTTTACCAACCTTGGAAGGATGGAAGGCTGAGTCAACCTTGAGCCGGCTACCTGGGATTTGAACCCCAGGTCGTGAGCACAGTTTTAGCTGCAGTACAGCGTTTTAACCACTGCGCCACGAGGCTCGTAAAAAAAGAGTGAGGAAGGAAAGGAAGGAAGAAAACAGGAAGCAGGCGTAGGTTAAGAGTTAGAAACCAAATAAAGCAGAGGCCAGAGAGGAATAAGATAGGGCTGGCACTTGCTCCCCTCCACTCCCACAACACACTCAGCTGTAATCCAGCTTTATTACTATATTTCCATGAACATTCCTAACATTTAATGGCCATCTTCTTAGATCAAGATAAAGTACTTCCGTATCATTTCCTTCATCTCAAGATTTTGATAAGTGATAGTTGCTATTTTTCCCTGTTGATTTTTCCCCCTCTAGATCTGTCCTTCTTAAAAGCTTAGGCAGATTCCGTATCTATAAACATTGTAAACAGCTATTTCCATTTGCATCAGCACTAACCACAGTCTGTGTTCCTTTTTATTTATATTATACTCTCCTTCTGTAAACAGGTCTATTGATGTTAAAAGGAATCTCTTTCTCTCTTCTCCCAACTAAATCTAGTTAAAGAGATAAGCATGGAGTGCCTTATTGCGCTGCTGTTTTTTACCATTTACAGAATTATTTTGCCATAAGTTATATAAAGTAGTACATTTGTGTTTTAGATATCTTGGATTATACCAGTCGCTTCTGTGTTCTCTATATGAGTCCTGTTGCCTCTTGGGAACATGAAATAGTCTTCTAATGTTTTAAAAAAATCAGAATATACAAACCTATACACCAGTTTAAAAAAAAACTAATGGGGAAAAATAGCTGCAAGGCTGCATTGATTGTACTAGATTGAAAACAAGCTCCCTTCCTTCATGGTCAGCTGGTAAAAATGACATAGAAGAAGGCTAAATATTTGGGTGAGAGAACAGGAGCGTGTTAAAAAATGTAAAGGTGTGATAATGAAGTAGGTTGTGATTTAACTGGCCATAGCAGAGAAACATGTGAAAAGTGTTACGTTTGTTCACATAAAGCAAATGACACTGAAGGATAGTATCTCCTTAAACAGGTATTCTTACTCTACTACAGACTATGAAACTTGTCATTCAAGGAGAGGAACATGTGGACTTTCCAATGGCTTTGGGATCCAACCTCACTCAGCATGGCCAACCCAGCATAGCTTATTTAGAAGACCTATAGGGAAAATTGTAAGAAAAAATATCTGGCAGGCCAAAGATTCCCAACAAAGTTAGCAGAATTACAACTGATATAAGAGATGGAGCTGGCTGGATATCTCAGTGGTTTAGGTATCTGGCTGCTGACCCAGAGTTTGGGAGTTTGATTCCCCTTTGTGACTTCTGCAAGTACAGCTAGCCTATGTAGCTTTGGGCAAGCTGCACAGTCCCAAGATGCCCCCAAGAGAAGGGAATGGTAAGCTACTTCTGATTATTCTCTACAAGGAAAACCCTGAAATGGGTTGTCATTAGAGATGGACACTACCTCAGTTGTTGCAGGTTTTTTGGGCTGTCTAGCCGTGTTCTTGAGGTTTTTCTTCCTAACATTCTGCCAGTCTCTGTGGCCTGGCATCTTCAGGGGACAGGAGTCAGAACTCTGCCTGTGCTCTCCTGTCCTCTGAAGATGCCGGCCACAGAGACTGGCGAGACGTTAGGAAGAAAAACCTCGAGAACACAGCCAGACAGCCCGAAAAACCTACAACAGAGTGTTGTGGAACACTCTACCAACAGAAATCCGCCTGGCTCCCTCGCCGGGCGTTTTAAAAAGCCATTTAAAAACTTGACTCTTTAGGCAGGCCTTCCCTCCAGTCAATTAATTGATCTATGTTTTTCAATTATCCCATCTTGATAATGTATATATGCATCAGTTAGTAGGTTTTATTATTATGTATTATTATGTATGTTATTCTATTATATTTTATCACTCCTGTAAGCCGCCCCGAGTAGACTTTGTCTAGAGGGGTGGGGTATAAGTCTAAATAAAGTGAAAAAAGAGTAAAAGTACAACAACTATTGGATCCCGACTGTAAAAGCCTTCGAGAATAGTACCTCGGTTCATAGGTTAGTGCTAGTTTGTACACACAGCAACACAGGTGCTGAGCATCCCCTTACCCCCGCCTCCCTGGCCAATGATCCACTCACCGGCCAGCACACACTCCTATCTTCCACCTTTTCGGCTGTTCAACCAATGAGTGGGCGATCAGCCAAGGAGGCATCTGAGAAGTCCAGAGACTGGCTGAACAGCCAGAGAGGAGGAATAGGTTAGTGCTAGTTTGTACACACAGCAACACAGGTGCTGAGCATCCCCTTACCCCCGCCTCCCTGGCCAATGATCCACTCACCGGCCAGCACACACTCCTATCTTCCACCTTTTCGGCTGTTCAACCAATGAGTGGGCGATCAGCCAAGGAGGCATCTGAGAAGTCCAGAGACTGGCTGAACAGCCAGAGAGGAGGAAGAGAGGAGTGTGTGCTAATTGGTGAGTGGGGGATCCAGCCAGGGAGGCAGGGGAAGTGAGTATGTGGCACCTGTGGTGCTGTGCGTACAAACCAGCATGAACCTCCAAACCGATGTTCGTGCCCATCTCTAGTCATCATAAGTCAGAATGGACTTGATGACACACAATGATGGTGATGATTATATGAGATACAATTGCAGGTTTTTTCAAATGTATACAGTGGTGCCTGGCTTAACGACGATAATGAGCTACTCAAGTGATGCAGGTTTTTTAAAATGTATACAGTGGTGCCTGGATTAACGACGATAATCCATTCCAGGAAAATCATCATTAAGCGAAAACATTGTAAAATGAAATTTAAAAACCCATTATAACGCATTGAAACCCATTCAATGCGTTCCAATGGGGTAAAAACTCACCATCCAGCGAAGATCCTCCATACAGCGGCCATTTTCGCTGCCTGTATAGTGAGGAATCTGTCCCTAAACACAGCGGGGAGCCATTTTAAGCACCTGGTGGCCATTTTGAAACCACTGATCAGCTGTTTAAAAAACATCGTTTTGGGAAGAATTGGTTCCCGAAGCAGAAAACCGATCATCGCAAAGCGAAAAAAACCTATTTAGACCATCGTCATACAGCGATTTTGTCATAATGTGGGGCAATCGTTAAGTGAGGCACCACTGTATCTGTCATGTCTATTAGTTTTACATACCAGCTTTGCTCCATCACATAATGGAAGTAAAATAGCATGCACGAGTTTTCCCATCCAGCCTACTAACAGAGATCCAGAGCCACATCAGCAAGATACTTTGAAACCTTGGCAAACCTTAGTTTGATGCCCCAGTGGCAAGTGGGGAAATAATGTGCTACTAGTGTGCCTTGCTCAAAGTTAAGCCAGACATGCCACATGCACGATGCGGTCAGAGATCTCTTTCTATTCCACCAGCATAACAGCATGGAAGATAAGTGGACATGTGGTTTCTTAAAAGAGGAAATGGGGATTGAAGGATGGAGGATTGGATGCAGAATAGGAGGACTTCGGTGTTTCATTTTTGGTTGGGGACAAGTATCAGCGTTCACGAAGATTCATAAATCCAAGGCAGGAAATACAAAACTTGTCAACAGTAGAAGTTCAAGTATATTGGGCAAAGTTAGTTACCTTTTCATCCCCAAGTCATAAAGCATGTTAATGAATACTGGCAGAGCATTAGATGTTGGTTGTAGTAAGACATAAAATGTTTGTTGTGGTGAGTGCAAATGGCTAAAATTACGGCAGTGTTTCTTCCAATTAACACTTCTTGAGGTATATATTATTCACATGCTGTGCAAGATAAGTAAGAACTATTTCTGTTCCCACATGTTTTCAATTGCAGGTGACTAAAGCTTTCCCTGGAAGCGCAGGACAGATAACTCTTCATGCAAAACCTTTCCTTGTCTGTGGAGGCGATGGATTTACCCACTCCAATTTTGATGGGTGTATAGATTCAGCTCTCAGTGTTCTAGAGGCATTAAAGTCCGGTTTCTAGATTTTTAAAATCATTCTTTCTCCCTAATATCAATTACATTCTATGAATAGGGAATTTACACGGTTATACGAAAAGTTAGTATGTTTGACTTAGTTGTCCTCTATTTTAAGGAAGGAAGTCACGACAAGTCCTGAGATGCTTAACGAATTTATTGCAGCAGTAGTGAAGTTTGCTTGTTTATTTGTTCAACTTCGAGGACTCTACTTTTCTGTCTTCCTGGAGTGTGGAAAACATGTACAGGGTGGCCATGTGCTTTCTCTCACCACCCTGTTATCTCCTGACATGGGTGAAAATTAGTGAAAACGATGGTTGAGGAAAGGGGAATAAACCCTAAACAACATCCTTAATTCTTATGTGTTTATTTTTGTTTTTTATTCTATTTTATCTTTATTTTATTTTATGATGTTTTACAGTGTTCCTTGTTATTCATTCATTGTGTATTTCTGACATTTTATTAATTAGCTCTTCTAAATCTTGTTATTGTTGCTGTTTATATTGTTGTAAACCACCCAGAGTGGCCTTGGCTGCCAGATGGGCGGTATAAAAATCAAATCAGTCAATCAATCAATCAATCAAATAAATAAATAAATTTATTATGATCATGATGATGATGTCCAGCCATCAATGAGTAGTGGAAGAACCACATTAGTATGGTTTCCCTGGTCCACATTTATGTGATAAAATTGTCTTTTGAAATATTCAAATCACAGTGTCCTGAATTTTTTTTAGGATACATTCCTAGTTTCAAAACATACTTTGGATGTTATTTTGCTACACAGAAACAGGCTTTACTGGTTCTCTGTCACAACAGGTACAAAAGCCATAGGAAGTGCAGGAAACTGGCACAACCTTTTTCCTTTAGAAGAAGGTAACATTCAAACTTTTGACATAATATGTTATGATCTTACAATTTTATGGAACCATTTCACGCCATGAATAATGGAGGGGGGGACGTTATCTTGTAGCGCCTCTTCTGCTTTAAAAATGGCTGTGTGCATCTGGCCATAGAATCCACTGTTATGAAACTGTGGTGCCTTTATGAGAAACATCAAATTATATGAGTCCATGGAAGTTTGTATTGCTAACCATTATCGTGAAGTTGTAGCAATGTGGCCCTCTAGATATTGGGCTAGAATTCTCATCATCTCTGTCCACTGGTTACTGATGATGGCGCTTCAAATCCAACAATATCTAATGGGCTTTAGGATCTCCATACCTGCTCCTTTGGGGCAAGATCAACTGTAGTATCTTGCTTTATATGGGCAGTGTTTCTGAAATGTTTTTATACCTGAAGTACGTATGCGAGAGTTTTTCCACGGACTGAAATTACAGGGCCACTTTACTCCTACACTCAGAAGTGTGTGTGTACATGTTTGTGCACACATGCACACACATCCAGAACCACAAGCAAACATGCTACTTATAATTGCAGAGGAATCCAGTTACATAAAGCAGGTAGCCTCCTATCCTCTGTTTTCCTTCATCAGTCATAGTTTCAGAAGTGAGATTGTGTTTCCTGAACCGGTGGGGTTCTTCGGGGATTCTCCCGTGCCTATTAACTGCAGCATGGGCTACATTAAGGAATCCCCTTGTGTTTATGCTCATTCCTTAGGGCAGAGAATGCTGCACAGAAAAAGAGGTCAGTGCTGCAGAGATTCCCCGGTTTGGCTACCACCGAGTAGCAGGTGTTGCTTATATGTTAGCCTGATTTTACAATACAGTCTGTAACCCGCTTCTACAGCTTTATCTTATTTCCTGGTGTAATACAAGTGAATTAGAGAGTGAGATGGTGACTCTGATAATAATGTGTCTTGTTAACAGTTCATGTTTTTTTCTCTGGCCATTACATTTGTTTAGGTACAATTTCTTTTCACACAGCAGTGGCTTTGATTGCAAAACTTGCCACCAGACAAGTAGAAAGATCTATGCAAGCAGATAATGTATAGGTTTCCCATTCAAGTGATAAAAAAAAGTTTCCATCTATCTTATAACACACTTTGGCCACACACACAAAAGTGATAATATGGTCATGCACGTGAAAGAATTAAAGATTTGAAAGAAACTGGTCAATTTGTGTTTCCTTATTCAGTCACATTTCATTTCAACTTTTTCTGTTGAAGTTTTGTCTCACATACCTTTGCTTTCAGCTGGGCTGTAGGGTTGTTAAGTTTAAGCATTGACAAAGGTATTCAGATAGGTAGAAATGATTGAAAGAAATCACGGTTTCATCTGCATGCTAAAGAAAACGACCCTGTGGTGGAAGAGCATTTTACCTCACATCCGGAAAGCATGCTTTCCTGTCAAAGTAATCTGTGGTTATGCTTATGTCATGGAGATACCTTATTTTAAACTGTTTTTTTCATAAAGCAGGATGTGATACAACACCAGTGAGATCAAGCCCTAACACACAGAAAATTGTCACAGGCGTGAAAAGTTTCATGTTGTTCTCCTACACCAGTATATACATTTATTAGATGGCTACTGACAGGAACAAATGCAGCCATCAAGTGCCCACCTCTGTGATACTGTGAAGCAGTGATATGGGCATCTGCCTTTACTAGCTTGACAATTACAGTTATAAGCTTTCTTCAAGCATTCAATAAAAGGGTTAAATCTTAACCAGTAAGCAAGGGGAGGAGATATAGTACCAGAAGCATACCTGACTGTACTGCTGACTCCTGCTACAACCCTACCTATACTTTTTTTTTTAAATTGACAACATTTGGGGGGCTTATTTCCTAGTTGTCCTATTTACGATCAAGGGGGAGGAGATATAGTACCAGAAGCGTACCTGGCTGTACTGCTGACTCATGCTACAACCCTACCTATACTTTTTTTTGAAACTGACAACATTTGGGGGATTTATTTCCTAGTTGTCCTATTTACGATCAAACCATCCAGTGTCTTATCAATGAAAATGTCAACCTTTAGAATCTGGAAACCCAGTATCATTGGGAAATATAAATTTAATCAGCTGAACTGGGCATTTTCCTCAAAGGACGTTCAGCTGGACTTGGAGTGAAGCATTGAAATGGGAGTGTGCTCCCCACCCCAAAAAAGGCATTATATGGGGGGGGTGTTAAGGAAGAATGCAAAGTTTGCTATCAGAATTGGGAGTAGCTCACTGTTAGTCAAGGTTCTTTGTTCCCCTTTTGTTTTTCTTTGCTGCTGCCACAGGTTTCAGTAGGGTTTTTGCCACCATTTTGTTACTCCCATAGTTCCACAGAAGTAGCAGTGTCCCAGAATATTTTGAAGGGAAAAAATTGTGTCCTAGGAGTGCCACAGTTCTCTCCACCCACCGCCACCACCATACCTGAGGGGGGAAAGGAAGACACTGAGAAAATCCCCAACTTGTTGATAAATCTCCTGCCTTCCTTAGGGAACATTCCTCCCCCTCTCCCAATTCAGCAGCTTCAAACATGAGTGCGAATTGAGTGGCCATTCTGGTTTAGCCCTGTTAAGCACTGCTGTGGACCCTACCAGGAACCCTTGCAAAAGTATGTATGTCTTTCACAGGGAAGCCATAATATTAGCCCATTTCCTCACTAATAATAAAATAATAATAACAGTAGTGATAATTAAAACCTTAGGAAGTTGACAGAATCTGATTATGAACAAATAAAAAGTATGTGTGTGTTCAGCTGAGAAATGGGGTTAGCAGCGGCGTGATATAATGTGGCTTGGCTAATCAGCACAGCTTTTGCAGAAATAAAACTTTATACGAGCCTTGTTGGAAAAGCTCAATTAACAAATTGTCAGCCTACATGTCCTGTTCAAGAGCTGAGGATGACAAATGATTGCAAGTGAGCAGTAATTTTTCCACCCACCTTGAATGTTTTCTGCAGGCAGAAAATTACCTTGTCAGAAAAAGAAAAAGAGAGAAGGCATTTTAACAACACACATTGTGTTGTTGAAACAAGCATCCACATTTATTTATTTATTTATCTATTTATCTATTTATATAAATTTATACCACACCCATCTAGACCGACTTTGGGTGCGAAGGAAGCCTGACACTAAAAGGAAAATTTAGAAAATAACAGTTTTCTGTTATTTACAGGGACACATTATTAAAATCAGTGGTAAACCAGTGACCATTCTTGTCTTTCTGTGTCCCCTTGGAAGTAGATTCAAACTGTTGTCTTTGGAAAGAAGTAGTTTGTTCCTTTCAAAGTCAAAGCCATAATCTAAATTTGATTGCTGGTTCCAGTTAGAGCAGATTAATTGAATCAATGGAATTTGCATAACTTTTACCATTAAGGTTTCATAACTCTACTTCAGTTGGCATTGGATTCAAGCCACAGTTCCTTACCAATGGTTTCCAGTGTTTGGCTAATTTTTAAAAATCACTCTAATATAGTGCTAATATATCTATTCCAGTGCTGCATACATGATTTCTTAGAACAGGGAAATGTCATTATTATTTTTCCAACAGCTTTGCTTGGGGAAAAGTCTCCTCTGAATATCTGCTGTGTTCTCATGCACAACAGATGTTGTAGCTGACACATGTGTGCTACATTGCAGTATCTCCAGACTAGAATTAAAAATCTGGTCCAGAAACTGGTTACTCCAGTTTCTAAATCCTTTACATCAATGAAGGACTGTCTTTAACCCTTAAAAACTATAATGTTTTGGCCCACCAACATGTCTTGAAGTAACAAGACAAGAATATGTCCAGAGGGTTTCTTAATGATAACTGCAGGCTACTTGATGTTATGTAGTCACAAGTATGCACTCTTACTTAACAATGTAAGACGTGCATTTAGTCACATCACATCTTAGAAACCAGTGCAAATGCAGGGTCATCCACAGGAGCAGGTATGAGCAACTGCCTTTCAAACTTTTGCATCTTTTAAACCGTTAAGTGTGTTCTAAGTAAGATATCTCTTTTTCGCATGGGGAACAAACAAAAAAAAGCCCAAATGTTTTTTTGAAAATCTTAGTAGTTATGTTTTTTAGCAACTGCATTATATGGCACACAGAGACTTTTATGTTCTAAATGAGTTTGCTTTGACCACTGCCCTTTCTTTGGAGGACTATTTAACATGGGACCTCTCAAATAAAATGAGATGACGCACCGTGTAAAACTATAGATTCTATTAATGTTAAACTGCATTCTACTGTAGGTGCTTTCCAGCAAGTGACTAGTAAAAGAGGCAGCCATTTTGAATTGGCTGGAATTTAAAAAGAATATGAGAATAGAGATTTTGAGGAGATAATGAAGTGGGAGATGCTCTCTTGATTCTCTCCCCCTCTTCATCTATGCAGTGCAACCATATTATGAGCATAGCTCACCCTTAGGATTGGACTCAGAGTCTGTTCTCCCTGTTCCTCTTTCACTTGAAATACAGTTGGCAGGAACAACAGATGAAGTGATGGCTCTACAGAACACTCTCCCTAGTGAAATGTACAGGCTACATATCTGCCAGATTTTTTGACTGCTGTGAACCATTTGGCATGTAAAATTTCAACCTATCTTAATTTCATTTCTCCTACAGAGGTGGGGGGCGTTTTGGTAATGTTTCATAATACTATATTATGTTTTATAAA